CCCCACCCTGCTTCGCCCTGTACTCCCCCTTCTTGTTTACTCAGATGGCAGCTGCTGAACCTTCCTAGTAATGGAATAAATGGCGCTGCCAGGCCAATATGCCTGAAACACGTGCGTCCCTGTTTAATTCCATGAGGTCACATAGAGCCCTGCTGATGTTTTATGATACGTGGGTCTTCAGTGTTCCCAGGGCCAGTTCCTCTGCGCCCACTCCTTGTCCACCCCACCGCTTCCCCTGCTGCACTCATTGTGCCCTTGGAACAGGGGCCACCGTGTGCAGGGTCTACCTACCCGCGAGGGGCGGGGACACTGCACTGGCCTTGTCCCTTGTATGGATGCAGACGGGAAGACTCAAGTCCAGGCTTGGAGTCAAGGTTGAAAACCTGGACCTTTATTGTGGAATAATTTGGCTCCTGAAAACGGTAGTTTTCACATGCTCTTAATTGGGTTCCCTAGTGTTGACATCTAACATCACGTAGTTAAACCCCTGGCTTCAGACTTTATCCTCAGTCTGTTGGGGTGTTGTGCTAGTCTCTGGTCACCCGGAACCCCCTTCGTGCCTGTCCATCGTCAGCACCACAGGTCACTTATATCCCAAGTCCAGGGTCATGCCAGGGAATTGGATCATGAGCCATGTAACATGCTTTTAAAACAACCCTCTTAGATCTCCTGAGTCCTTCTTTTCTGTCGCTTGGCTCGGTCCGGAGAAAGATTCCCCCCCTGAACATGTTGGGGTTTTCCTACGGTTCCACAGCTGGTGCAGCGGTTGGGCAGCAGCTCAGAGGACAGCTGTGTGGCCTTGAGTGTCTTCCTTCCAGGGAGCTGCCTTCCCGGGGACGTGTCCTTGTGGGGAGACGAGGCTCCCCTGGTCAGGGCGGAACAGACCCGAGGCTCGCGGCTCCCTTATTCCCTCTTATGATTTCTCCACCGAGGCTGCAGCCCCATCTCTCTCCTTCAATCCGCTAGAACGGACGTCCCCCAGGCACAGGAGCAGTGCCCTCAGTTGGCCAGGGTAGCCGGCCCTGGAATTGGGGATTCTATCCTTTACCTCCAAGGGAGAATTTCAGACAGAAGTGGAGCACAGTAGTGACCCCCGTGTCCTCAGCACCAGCTTCCACGGTTATGACTCGGGGCGCATTCTGTCTATGGACACCTCCACTTCCTCTGGGGGAGCTGGAGGAAGACTTACAATGTACAGGTCGGTCAGACTGAGATCCTTAAGTGGCTCTTCTGACTGAGCCCCTTCTCAGTCCGAGTCTCCCTCTCCTTTCTTCTTGTTTCTTGGGAAGTTGGATTTTAAGTCAAAACTCTTACGAACAGTTTCCCTTCACAGGGAGAGAAACTACCTAATGCAGATTCCACGAAGCACCAGCTTGAGCCATTTCCCTCACTCTGTCATGGAAGGTTCTACTTCTGAGAAGCCCAAGCTGAGTTTCCACATCATAGTAGGCTTGAAGGTAGGCCCTGGGATCATTTGGTAGAAATGTTAGCATGAAATACAGACATGGTCTGAGGATTCGCTCCCGCTGATTATGTCAGTTGTCATAGAGTCTGCGGTCTTGTGTGAGTTCAGACTCAAAGATTCAACTATGAAAGTAGCCTGTCCCCATCGCTTGTTATGTCTGCAAACCACGTGGTGCAGCGGGGAGGTTGAGGACCAGGAGCCAGGGCCCCTGGGATGGAGTCTCAGTGGATCCTGGAAGGTGGGGCCTTGGATAAGTCTCCTGGATTGGATTTTTGAGAAGCGGAGCCTGGGCAGGGATTCAGGTTCCGGGGTGGGGGGGTCACTCGGAGAAGTAACAGCAGGGGAAACGGGACATGGAGAAGGAAAGGGCTGAGCAGGATGTGGTCTCGGTCCAGCTTTAGCCTAATTTGGAGGAAGGGCCTCTTGAACAAAACTTACTCGTGTGTGGCACTCACCGGTCGAGGGCTGCCCTCATGGCAGTGGGGATGGGCGCACTGGCCGGGTGAAGGCCAGGGCACAGAACCACTGGCATCTGTGACTGCGCCCAGGCTCTCAGGGCCTGTTCCCGCCCCTTTGCAGGACTGTTCTGAGGAGCAGCAGACGGCAGTGGTACGGAAGGACACTGGGGTCCATAAAGTACACGTCAGATAAGGAGAAGGTGACGTGATTACTAAATGCGAACATGATACAGAAAAGGAGGGTTGGACAGCAGTGAGAGACTTCCTTGTAAGTTAAGGTTTTTGTGGGACTTTTTCTTTTACCTCAATTAAAAAAAAAAGATGTATTACAGACTGCTGTCACATGGGTTTAAAAGTAGATCAATACTGGGGCGCCTGGGTGGCTCAGTCAGTTGAGTGTCCGATGTTGGCTCAGGTCATGATCTCACGGTTCATGGGTTTGAATCCCACAACGGACTCTGTGCTGACAGTGAAGGGCCTGCTTGAGATTCTGTCTCTCCTCTCTCTGCCCCTCTCCTGCTCTGTCTCTCAAAATAAATAAAAACATTAAAAAAAAAAAATAAGGGGCACCTGGGTGGCTCAATCGGTTGAGCATCTGACTTTGGCTCAGGGCATGATCTCGTTTGTGGTCTGTGAGTTTGAGCCCTGAGTTGGGCTCTGTGCTGACACCTCTGAGCCTGGAGGCTGCTTCAGATTCTGCGTCTCCCTCTCTCTGCCCCTCCCCTGTTCACGCTGTGGTTCTCTCTCTCTCAAAAATAAACTTTTTTTTTTTTTTTTTTTTTTTTTAAGTAGATCAATATTTGCATCAGGGAGCTGAGAAAAAAGTAAAGACTTGTGTCTGGAGTACAATTCCTCGTTTCCCGCACATGTGGTTCAGCATTTAGTTCGTGTGGAACATAAATCTGCGACAGTCTGTCAACTGAATCCATCTAGGAATGCTCCCATCCCGACCTCTTTTGTCCCCTGCTCGCGTGTACCTGTCGCAGTTGGCTGGGGCTGCCATCACTATGCGGCGAGGTGGGGGGGGAGGCTGGAAGTTCAGGATGGGGATGCTTGCAGGGTGCCGTCCCTTCTGAGCCTCCTTTTGGCTTGTCTGCTGGCTGCATCTTGCTCTGTCACATGAGCTCTGGGTCACATGAGCAAAAGGGGTCACATGAGCACAGAGCAAGATGCAGCCAGCATGACCCCTTTGTGGGGGGGGGGTAGGGGGGATGGAGGGAGAGAGACAGCTTATCTCTAATAAGCTTATATTGCTGATACTAATGCAGCTGGTCCAAAGTCATTTTTTAATATTTACCTTTGAGAGAGTGAGAGAGTGCGTGTGCGCGTGTGCATGAGTGGGGGTGGGGCAGAGAGAGAGGGAAAGAGAGAGAATCCCAAGCAGGCTCCACACTGACAGTAGAGAGCCCAATGTGGGACTCCATCATGACCTGAGCCAAAGTTGAATGCTCAAGCAACTGAGCTACCCAGGCGCCCTGGTCCAAAATCTTTCAGAGAATATTAGCCTAGTATCTCTTTCCCATCCTTTTTATTTTTACTTTTTCCCATCCTTTTGAAAAAAATTGTTTCCTTCGGATAACCTGTGTACAGAATTAGATTAATTATAATGCTTGATAGGAGTCATGGTCCACGAATGACTAACTACTTTATTAGTTTGGTAACTTAGGTAGTTACTTTAGTACTTAGCACTCATTAACATGCCATTAAACACAAACAAAACAGAAGTTAAGACCTTGAAAAACACCTGTGTTATCTGGTCACTTGGTACCCCTCATCCCGTACCTCAATTTCCCAATTAAAGGAACATCATCTTGAATCCTGATTTTATAATTTCTTGCTTTCCTATTTTTATACTTTTACTACATATGTTTTCCTACTAACTAGAGTTTTTATTTTAATTGATTTTAGTAACTCTATAAAATTTCCTGTGTTCAATCTTGTCTTTTAACTCCTCAGTGTAATCTGATTTTGTCTATTCTGATTGTCAGTTTATTTCTACCACCCAATTTTGTCTTTTCTGTTTTCCATGATTTTTAAAAAAATTTTCTCAGTTCCTGTTTTATGCTGCTCAGTTTGTATTTTCTTCTTTTTTCCCCCATTTACATGTTTGAAAATTTCACATTTTTAGTCTTTATTTTTACTGGTTACGCGTAAAATTTTAATATGCCCACCTGACTTGTGAGATTATGAAACTGATCTCTATCTGTGCCCTTCTCCGTGATATTACGCAACACCTGAATACCTCCTGTGGACCTGCTCCAGCAGCCCACACCACTGTGGATTAGTTTTCTAGTTATGCCTGACCCCAAATTGACCTTGTCACTATAATTATTGTTGTTACTGGGTTTCTAATAGTCAATGACTAATTAGGTTTTCATGTGTGCGTTTTAACAAGTTGATTTTACTCACTGAGGCTTCCTTGGAGATTCATTTCTCTTCTCACTGAAGCATGTCTTTTGGTGGTTTAGCGGTGCTGAGTTCCCTTCGGCTTTGTGTGAACATGTTTTCTTTCCACTCTCCCCCTTGAATGTTGGTTTCCATGTATTTGCAGTGACAGAGCCCTCATTCACTCAGTCTGCGTAGAAGGCTTACAGTTTTTCTCTTTCAGCACTCTGAAGTGCTTCTTCCAACTCGAGATTTATGGCTTCCATCAAGTCGGGCAATTCTCAGTCAACGTCTCCATCCAAATTCTCTCTCAGGAAATACCTCCTCCTGGCTCTCCCGTTACATGTATGCATTGGGCGTTCTCCCACTGTCTTCCAGGTTCCTCCTTCCCGTTGTGTCTTGCTGATCTCGCTGTGATATATGTCTTCAGATCAGTCATATAGTTTACGTATTCTCCATGAGCTGTATTTAATGTGCTGTTTACTATATGTGACTTTCATCTCAATGCCTTTATATTTCGTTTCCTGATGTTTTATATGATTCTTTTTCAGAACTGCCTCCTGGTAAAATACATTTTACCATTTCCTTCAGATTATCATGTTATCTGAAGCTCTTAGGGAGCAGACTCTGCTATTCATTTCTACAGCCTTTTTCCAGGGTAAATGCTTACTCTGGTTTGTATTTTCTGCCATTGCTCATCCCCAGGAGGGATTCTTTTGATATGTGGCAGCACCCTGTTTTGGAGGTTATGGAATTGTTGCTACGGGCTTGTTCTGTATTTACTTCTGCTAAATAACTCGAGGGTTTCCTGGACCCAAGACCATAGATACTGATTTCTGAATATATTAATTTTTGGAATTTCAGATTCCTGAAAAGCGGAGGTACTGTGAATTGTGATTACACTTTCTCACCTCCCCTCTTCTCTAATGGGCTTTAATTTGTCTCCAGAGGCTCAGGAGACAAGTCCTCTTACGTCAGCAGCACAGTTGTTCTTGCTTCTTGTAGGAGTCTCATTTCTAGTTTCTTCTTGTCTCTTTTTGTTGTGTTTTAACATGTGTCCACAAATTCCCTGACACCCCTCCCTTCCAGAGGTAGAGTCCAATCTCATTCTCCTTGAGTTCGAACCGAATTTATCCTCGGGTTCAGAGATTTTTTTTTTCCTCACATGTGCCCAGTTTTCTAAGAAGCCCATCAAAAGCACTCTTCATTTTCGTTAACGGTGTTTTTCATCTCTAGCACTTTCGGGTTCTTTCCTAGGATTTCCATCTCTCTGCTGACATTGCCTATCTGTTCTTGCACACTGTCTGCTTTATCTGTTAGAGCCCTTAGCATATTTATCATAGTTATTTTAAATTTGTGGTCTGACCACTCCACAATTCCTGCCGTGTCTTGTTCTGATGCTTGCTTGCCTTTTCAAACTGTGTTTTTTGCTGTTTGGTATGCCTTGTAATTTTTTTTCTTGAAAGCTAGACAAGATGTGCTGAGTAAAAAGGAAGTGCTGTAAATGTATATATATATATTTTTTAATGCTTATTTTTGAAAGAGAGCACGTGAGCAGGGGAAGGGCAGAGAGAGACTGGAGACACAGAATCCAAAGCAGGCTCCAGGCTCTGAGCTGTCAGCACAGAGCCCGACGTGGGGCTCGAACCCATGAACCGCGAGATCACGGCCTGAGCTGAAGTTGGACGCTTTAGCCAACTGAGCCACACAGGCGCCCCAGGAAGTGCTATAAAATGGCCTCGAGCAATGTGGCTGTGATGTGTGGGAAGCATTCTGTTATTAAAAACAAAACAGGCCCCAAATGCAGTCACTTATGCTAAGTCCCACGTCACCAAACTGAGATGTGACTTAAACACAGGTCCGGCTCTCCTGGAGATGGAATATCAAATAAACTAGTCAATCAGGAATCACCTGGTCAGCACTAGTTAGGTAAATATGCCTGGTAGATGCCCGTCATCCCCTAAAGGAAAGTGACCGTTCAATAACCAACCTGCTTTTTCTGCCCAGAGTAGCTCCCTTGTTCCCAGACCTTTCTTCCTTCAAGTCCTTCATTTTTACAGCTCCTCTCCATGCTTCCATCTGATGGGTGCGATGCTGCGCAATTCATGAATTGCTGAAGCCAGCAAGATCTTTAAATTTTACTCAGTTGAATTTGGCTTTTTATTTTTATTTATTTTTATTTTTTTTTAAATTTTGTTTAATGTTTATTTATTTCTGAGACAGAGAGAGACAGAGCATGAGTGGGGGAGGGGCAGAGTGAGAGGGAGACACAGAATCCGAAGCAGGCTCCAGACTCTGAGCTGTCAGCACAGAGCCCGACGCGGGGCTCGAACCCACGAACTGTGAGATCATGACCTGAGCCGAAGTCGGTTGCTCCACCGACTAAGCCACGCAGGCACCCCGAACTTGGCTTTTTAATGTTAAAGTCCTTTGATTAGGTCTCAGTGAGTCTGTCTGGACTGAACTTCACAGGTATCTCTCAGTGTTCTCCTCTTAGATGGGATGCGGTAGTTAGAGCTGTTATTTCCCTTCTCCCACAAGGAAGGCTAGAGCGAGTTAAATTGGGTATTTCTCTTCCCCCAACCCAGTTAGGATCTGATAATACCCCAGAAGGTTAGGCTCTAGTTAACTGGTCTCCCCTGAAAGCAGGCCTGATTAAAAAGAACAGAGTGCTCTGTTTATTTAAAATTAGTTCCTTTCCTCTCCTCCAGCCGGAAGCAAAAGGGGATTTTTCTCCAGTGTTTACTGTGGGAACCTGGTTGAGCTTCTGGAGGTAGAACACATAGTGTTGTGCAGGCATCGCTATGACCGGAGGCCTTAACTC